TCCATACCCTTCTCCCCAATGTGTATCCAAGTTTTTTTATCTAAATCATTTGTTCCTCACCACCTTACTCTTATCTTGTTCACCAACTTTCTACCTGTAACACACACACACCACACACACACACACACACACCACACTCCATCCACTAAACCAAATCGCACTAACCTTTGAACGATTCTTTGAATCTCCCATAAGCACAGTATCTCACAAAAAAAAAACTGTATAAAATCCTTTTTGTTTTTTGTTCCCCCATAATTTAATCCCCCCCCCTTCCCCAACACCCTAGTTTTACTTCTTTTCAACCCCATTTAAATATATTAAACAACCATGGTGACTTACAACCCCTGTCCAAGCCTACTTTTCCCGGGGAATTTTTCACCCCTCCCACCCTAATCTGAGCCAAACATCCTAAAAAAAAACCCTTTTGCATTTTAATATACATATATAATATATTTATATATATTTTTATATATTTATATATAAAATATATTATATTATATTTATAAATATAATTATATATATATATAATTATATTTATATATATATATATATATATTATTATATATATAATATATATATTTATATATTATATATATATTATATATGAAATATCGCAAACCAGCGATACGGATTTTTCCCGTTTAGTCAGCCCCTAAAATTGTATTCCCCCCCAATCCCCCAAACCCCAGAAAAGAAAAAACGGATTGGAGTATATTTTTTTTCAGTGACACTGTGAAAAAAAACCTTTTTTAACAATTGTATTATATGTTTCTAACGCATATCACTAATTCTTAAAAATAAAAGCACTCAGAAAAAATCCTTGTACAAGTTGTGGAAAGTTTTGAGGAGTTTCCTCAGTGGGTAAGAGGGGGGACCCGCTCCTCCCAAAAACCTATCCTGGTGCAGAAAAACGTGAAATGTTATTCTTAAAAAGTGGTTGGTCCCCCAAGCGGAGGGGAAAGAAAAAGAGGGGGAGCCCAGATTTTGAAGGTGGGGCCCTGGAAGAAAATATCGCGGTGACTTTTGGTAAATCACCCGGAGTTTTTATGTTTCATAGTGTTTGGGTAACTTCTTTACACACTTCTTGAAAAAAAATGTTTTAGAGAGTTGATGTTTGGTTTTAAAAATCACAATTATGAAATAAAAATAGTAGAATATTTTAAAATAATAAGAAGGTCGGAATATCAACCGCCTCAGATTACTAAGTTCAATACAATCATCGAATATCAACACCCTTTAAATTTTTCATTATACTATCCTTTTTTTATTTTTATCGAAAAAGTTTTTAGGTTGATTAGGGTTTGGTTAGGTTAGGTTAGGTTAGGTTAGGTTAGATTAGATTAGGTTTTGGTTGGTTTTGGGTTTGGTTAGGTTAGGGGTTTGATTTAAATTTGGTTAAATTATTGGTTAGGTTAGTTAGGGTTTGATTTGGTTAGGTTAGGTTGGTTTGGGTTGGTTAGGTTTGAATAGATTGGTTGGTTAGGTTGGTTAGGTTAGGTTGGTTAGGTTTTTAGGTTAATTTAAATTGGTTAAGTTAGGTAGGTTAGGTTTGATTTTTAGATTATTATTTTAAATTTGGGGTTTTTTAGGTTGGTTTTGTTTTAATTTTAGGGTTTTATTATTTTTTTTAGATCCTTTAATTATTATTTTTTTTAGGTTTTTTAGTTATTAAATTAGGGTTTGGGTTTTTGGGAATTTATCATTAATATTTAAATTATTAAAATTTAAAAGGTTAGGTTTTTTGGGTTGGTTTATCAGGGTTTGATTAGGTTAGGTTGATTGGTAAATTTAGGGTTTTTTAGGTTAGGGGTTTTTTAGGTTGGGTTTTAAGTTTGGTTAGGTTAGGTTGGTTTGTTTTTAGGTTAGGTTAGGTTAGGTTAGTTGGGTTTTTTAGGTTGGGTTGGTTAGGTTAGGTTAGGTTAGGGGTTTGGTTAGATTAGATTAGGTTGGTTAGGTTGGTTAGGTTTGGGGAGGTTTGATTAGATTAGGTTAAATTGGTTAGGTTTGGGTTTGATTGGGTTTGTTAGGTTTGGTTGATTTGGTTAGGTTAGGTTAGGTTTAAATTAGGTTAGGTTAGGTTAGGTTGGTTGATCACTTTATTAGGGGGTTGGATTAGGTTAGGTTGGTTGGTTAGTTGGTTGGTAGGTTGGTTAGGTTGAAGGTTTTTTCAGGGTTTGTTTTTGGGAGGTTAGATTAGGTTAGGTTTGGTTGGTTTGGTTTGAAGGGGTTGATTTGGTTAGGTTAGATTTGGAAGGTTGGTTGGTTAGGTTTTGGGGGTTTTTTTAGGTTAGGTTAGGTTAGTTTGGTTAGGTTAGGTTAGGTTAAGTTAGGTTAGGTTAGGTTAGGTTAAGTTGGGGTTTGGGGGGGTTGGTTAGGTTAGTTAGGTTAGGTTGGTTAGGTTTGGTTGGTTGGGTTTGGTTAGGTTAGGTTAAAATTAGGTTGGGTTTGGGTTAGGTTAGGTTAGTCAGGGTTTGACGGTTTGATGGGTTTGGTTAGATTAGGTTTGGTTAGGTTAGGTTTGGTTTGATCAGGGTTTGATTAGGTTGGGTTTGATTAGGTAAGGTTAGGTTTAGGTTGGTTAGGTTTGGTTAGGTTAGGGTTTGGGTTTGGGGTTAAAATTAGGTTAGGTTAGGTTGGTTAAGTTGGTTGGTTTGGTTGGTTAAGTTTGGGTTTGGGTTGATTAGGGTTTGGTTAGGTTAGGTTAGGTTAGGTTTTGGGTTTGGTTGGTTAGGTTAGGTTTAAGTTGGTTAGGTTGGTTAAATTAGGTAAAGGGTTGGTTGGTTAAATTGGTTAGGTTAGGTTTTGGGGAAAGTTTGGTTAGGTTAGATTGGTTGGTTAGGTTTGACTGATTCGTTATCGTAAATTCTGAAAACCCGTTGGGTAATAAGACAGCAAATGGAACAGTATGATATATGTTTGTTATTCTGAAAAAAAACATCAAAACCCATATTTATCTTTTTTTTCGTAAATTATGCTGAAAAAATAATAAATTTTGGGGCTTTAAAAAAAAAACTTAGTCTGAATTACTGGAATTAATATATTGTAAAATTGGGACATTTTTAGGGGCTGTCTCTCGCTGCCCTTTTGTTGTCTCCCTTGTTCGTGACCCCTTCCCTTGTTTTTTATTAGTAAAATTTGTGATGAGTAAGTCTTTTTAACATTTATGTTTTTAACCTAATGCTGCAACCTGACTGTTTTCCCACGCACTACACTTGTCTTTAACATTTAGATATCGTTGTTGTAATTTTTCCCGGCGAAGTGCTTTTTGGGCCAAGTTCCAAAATGAATCTCACTATTTGTTTGGATGATTTTTAGTCTACCTTTCATTTGTTTTTTTAAAACGAGAACCGTGAAGAATTAAAAAAAAAAAAAAAAAAACATGGCACTGTATTGAGTTAGAATGTGTCCTAGCTTCCCGCCTATTGATAGACACTGTGACTTTATTAAGGACTTAAGCTGGTAAATGCTATATTTACTTCTTTTTCACCTCGTTCTCCAAAACATATTTTGCAAAACAATTTCCCCGATATTTCAGCGAAAAAAAACTGGATGATGTTTTTCCTTTTTTTATACGGACTTTTAAGCATTTTTCCCCTATTTCATTTTCTTTCTCGTGCAAAAGTTTATGTGTGACAGTTTGTTACTAATCTTTATGCGAACTCTGTTCTAGTGATAGTTTATTATTATTTTAGTGAATCTTTACCTGAAATTGCAGAAATACTGCTGTTTGCAAACAACTGATGGGCTGTATTCACATAAAAAAAAAATAGTAAAGGATTCGAATATTATTTTGGGGAACCCCCATATGTATTATGGGGATTCATATGCTATCGGCAGGGGCTGTGGTTCTGTTTTTTTGATCTGGGTGTTTTTTCCTTTGATCAAGTAGGACATAAACCAGTCTACTTCCCCTGCCCCAATATCTGTAGCTTCTTAAAAATATATTGGATTAATTGTATCGAATGCCTTGTACCTACCTAGAGATTACCAAAAAAAAACATTTGAGTTTCATTTTCCTATAATTAATTTATTGAAACCCTTTTGTCCTAGAATCGTTATACCTTTTTTTTTTTTTTTTTTTTTATTCGCCGGTATTTTCCCCGGCCCCGGGGTTTTTTTAATAGTGGTGACCCCCCCTTGGCCCTATTTGGGGAGTATCTAAGACCTAAATCTCCCCTGGGAGGGGTACAAAATACCCCCCCATCTTTGGGACCTGTTTACTGTTAAATAATAATAATAATTTTAAAAATTTTTATTTTTTATTATTAATCTTAATTTAAAATTTTTATAAAATATAAATACAAGAAAATAAAAAATCTAAATAAATTTTAAAATAATAAATAAATAAAAAAAAGATTTGTAATAATAATAATAATAATTTTAAAAATAATAATATAATAATAGGGATCGCACCATGCCTAACCCTTCTAGGCGGGTAGGTGCCGAGCCCGGCCTTTGCCATAAGCTGTCTTTCCCCTTAGCCCCTTGGGGGGGGGATGGGAGCCAGAGAGGCCCAGCTTGTGGAGGCCCGGGGCAGTTTTGGGCCAAAAATGAGGGGTGTTGGCTCCTCCCATGGGAGACTTAGGTCTCAGAATTCCCCAAGAGGGAGCCAAAGGCGGGCCACCCCTTGGACAAGGGCCCGGGCCGGGGGAATAGGAATCTTTAAATAACTAATACTAACAAATAATAATAATAAAATATAAAAATAAAACTATGTCAGTTTCCCATAGCAATTCTAGAGGCTGTTTGTTTGATGGGGGGGGCAGTGATGCACGAGAAATGTTGAAAAAGAAACGAAAAATATTGCATTGCATCAAGAGGGTATCAAGGAATAAATACATTTCTAACAATTTTCTTCGGAAATTTGATATATTCGTTACATTCTGTTATTTTTTCCCTTAGCTTTTCAATATTTTATAAGATCTAAGAACTTCATTTGGCACCAGTATGGGCAGGAAGGGTAGTATGTTACTCTTTCCTCAGTAGAGTGTTGACTGCAGGCGTGAGTGTACGTCGCTCCACTTTCTGATCCAAATTTCAGTTTCTTCTATAACTTGTACCTACATTGTGAACAAGAAAGTGTGATGATAGGAAAGAGAAAGTGTTTTGGATAGATTTCTGAAGAATGGAGAGAAAATAAGGCTGAAGGTTCATCCCTTGGCGTCCGTGAGGGAGGAAGTGTACGTAGCCTTGAACGTAGAGGGTAAGAGAGGATGTGATGATAGATGCTGTAACTCGCTCTACATGCACTGCTACCATGACTGCTCTACCATTACTATTGCTGCTTCTCCCACTACCATGACTGCTTCTACCATTGCCATTACTGCTTCTACCACTACCATGATTGCTTCTACCATTATAATTGCCGCTGGCAACACTACCATTGCTCCTTCCACCGCTACCATGACTGTTTCCACCATTATGATTGCTGTTTCCAACACTACCATTGCTGCTTCCACCTCTACCATGAATGCTTCTACCATTGCCATTGCTGCTTCTACTACTACCATGACTGCTTCTACTATTACCATTGCTGCTACCAAAACTAACATGGCTGCTTCCACCACTACCATGACTGCATCCAACATTACCAATGCTGCTTCTACCACTACCATTGCTGCTTCCACCATTACAATTGCTGCTTCCACCATTACCATTACTGCTTCCAACTCTACCATTGCTGCTTCCACTAACAACATGGTTGCTTCCACTACTACCATTGCTGCTGCCGCTAATACCATGGATGCTTCCACCACCACCACAACCACCATTGCTGCAATGGCTGTGAAGCAGATACCCACACAGCACGAGTATACATCAACAACATGTACGATTAAAATGCCTTGATCAATTGGACTTTGCCAAAGCTTTCAACTTAGTCAGAAGGTATGCTGCTCTCCAAGCAGTTTCTAGACTCTTCCCTCTATCCCTTCATAGAATCGTGTTATAGTGTGACTTCAAAACTATTGTTTGGGGACCATGAAATTGGCTCGTGTGAGGGTGTGCAACAGGGGGACCCTCTCGCCCCCTTTCTATTTTGTTTGGTTATCAAGGAGGTAACAGAAGCACTCTCCAGTGAGCTCAATATCTGGTTCTTGAATGATGGTACCCTAGTTGGCACTACAGAATCTCTCCTAGAGGACATCAGAAAAAGATATGGGAGAAAGCCTGGGCCTATCTTTAAACCCCACCAAATGTGAAATAGTTTCTACCAATCGACAGATGATCCAGAATATTAGTGCCGTTTTACCAGGAGCACGAGCCATTGATCCAGCCAACAGCACTCTTCTTGGTGCTCCTCTTGGGTCCAATGCCATAGATCTTATCTTAGAAAAAAAAAGTCTGTCTTCAGGACGATGGAAGGCAGGATGAAAGACATCGATACACATGATGCCTTCTACCTACTCACCAGGTGCCTGTAAATCCCAAAACTTACCTACTTTCTGAGATGCTCCCCGGGAATATGACTCCTTAAGACCATGCTGTAGTTGGACAGTAGTTCCAAGCCTCACTTCCAGTCAGGCTTAGGGGGTTGGGGGCCGTCTTCTTATCACCAGTGTCGAGGTTGGGAGACTACTCTCTCCCATCTTCGCATTGGCCATACTCGTCTTACTCATGGATATCTCATGGAGAGGCGCCCTGCTCCTCTCTGTGAGAATTGCCAAGCTCCATTATCAATCAGCCACATTCTGTTGGACTGCCCACTTTATCAACGAGCACGCAGAATTTACCTCCGTCGTCGTCTTCGCTCCGCTGCTCTCTCTTTACCTTCTCTTCTCGTTGATGGACCCACCTTTCATCCGGACTCTCTCAATGACTTTTTGACAACAACTGACTTACTTCACAAATTCTGATACCTTCAGCCCTTTCTACTTCAATCTCTTGCTACCCTCTACTCCTGCACTATCCCCTGCCCCGCTGTTTTCTGTAACCTACTGATCATCCCTCCTCCCTTCTGCCACCCAATACCCTCGCTTCCTTCCCTACCCTGCAGCGCTGTATAGCCCTTGTGGCTTAGCGCTTCTTTTTTATTATAATAATATAATTAGGGGGTTGGGAGTATGCAGATCCTCCCAGTTTGCCCTACCAGCTTTCCTATCCTCTTCCATAGTATCAAACGAGTTAATAAGACAAATTCTTCTGGACAACCTCAGTGACTCAGCAGGAATACAGGATTCTAACTATACCAAAGCCATCACTGAATGGGAGACTCTTCCTGCTCCATCACCAAACTCTAGTGCAGCACTGGGCTACAAACAGTCAAGCTAGGATGGTCCCATCTCTGAAAAGGTGCTTGCCAACATGCTCAGGGCTGTAACAACAGACAGGGAGACTGCACGTCTCCAAGCTGTGAGTGTACATCACTCCGGGGGCTTCCTCCAAACAGTTCCAATTTCGGCAATGGGAACACACCTCGACCCTAAGACCCTTTGTATGGCAGTGGTTCTGTGACTTGCTGCCCCAATTCAACGGAATATGCCAGTATTTGCGGCGTTGCGCAAGCCGACCAATGCGGTCTGGCTTGCAAGATTCAATGAGGTCAACGACATCATAAAGAGAACCCTTGCTACAGCTGGATGCCCAGCCGAGAGGGAAACCCGATCACTAGTAGCCAACAATACCCACAACCCAGCAAACCGCCCCGACGAGATCACCATCTATCCTTGGAAGAATGGCAAGCTCTTAGCATGGGACTATACCTGTGTGTCCACACTGGCTGACACCTATATCCATCACAATGTGGGGCGACAGGGAGGAGCTGCTGACCACAAGGAGGAGTACAAGATCAGCAAGTACAGGGACATAAGCCAACAGTATCAATTTCTCCCAGTGGGATCAGAGACCTTGGGATCATAGGAAAAAATGCAACACGTTTCCTTAAAGAATTGGGTTCCAGACTCATCGACACCACCAGGGACCCAAGGGTAGCCACTTTCATGTTCCAGTGCCTCAGCGTGGCCATCCAGAGGGGAAATGCTTGTTGCATACTGGGCTCACGTCCAGCCTCGGAGGAACTGGAGGAGATTCATAATCTTTGAAATATTGTACCAATGTATTCATGTTTGCATTTTCTATCAATGTATTCTGTTTATTAATAAAGTTAGCATGTAGCATAAAAATGTAGCGGGTGGTAGGAGAAGAAAATATTCAAACAGCTCCGGGGAGAACCTTGAGTTTTCCCTGAGGTACGTTTATTGTCTTCTCTGAGGATGAGGGTCCCCATTTCTAGAGGTGGTACCTCCCTATATTTTGAATGATTATATATAATATATATATATATATATTTTATATATATAATATATATATATATATATATATATTTTATATATATATATATATTTTATATATATATATATATATTATATATAATATATTTTATTTATAAATATATATTATATATATATATATATATATATATATATATATTATATATATATATATATTTATATATATAAATATGTATAATTTTATATAATATATAAAATATATATATATATGTATATATATAAAATATTTATATATATTATTATATATATATATATATATATATATATATATATATATATATATATATATATATATATATATATGCAATAAGATCACAGTAAACAGTGATTTCAGATAGCAAAACAACCCTCTGAAAAAATAGAGAAATTCCAAGCGCTTTTCGTGACTACTCACATTATCAAAGGACTATGAAAGTAAAGCATCCAATGAAGCTATATAAGGGTCTGGCCAGCACCTCACTATCAGGTCCCACAACGGTTAAACACCTGACGCGCGCCGACCCCAAATTGGATAGGTCCTTTGCACAACTTTACCCCACAAACTATTCTACCCCAAAAAAATTTAAAAATTATTTGTCCAGTGTATTATTAAATTCTTCCCAAATTCTATTAATTATAAATGGATCTAATTTATATAAACCAAGGAAATATTCATATTATTGTCAAAAACTGCTTTTATGAAACAAGATTCAATTATATTCCTGTCGACCATGGGACTTGCTTGATACTTCATTCTTCAACTTTTTGAAAATCAATTGGATGGTAAAATCTCTTACTGAATTAATAGAGGGCATGGAATCTGTCCAGTTCTAATGCTATAATTATGTTGTTTTAATATTAGTTCGAGATTTTTACCAGTTTGACCATAATAAAACTTTATCGCAAATTTTACAAGGAATCTTATAGACACATCCATCAGCATTTTGGGGGGAATTCTTTATCAAATGTTTTTTTTACTGGTGTATCAAGATTTTTTAATACCAACTTTAATTATTAAAAAGCTCTTAAGAAAGAGTAAGGCATATCAAACCAAATTCATGGTAAGGGAGAACCAACATATTTTTAGGTTGAATAAGGCTGGTTGTCCACTTTTTGGATTGTAAAAAGTATTTCTAGCAACTATTTAAAAGATTTATCAATTACATTTTCTTGGGTATTTAAATCCATTACCTATTTCATAAATTTTGGATATTTCCTCATCTATGAATCAGGGACTACAAATTCGGTAAAGCTCTCAGAAACATTGATGAGAGAAAACAGGACAGTTTGACTCTCATCTTGATGCGAGGAAAATAGTGGACATAGGAACAGTTATTTGTAGGTTTTCTGTATATTTTAATTTGATTTCATTTATTACCCTTAAAATTAAACATCTAGAAAAGGCAATGAGTTATTTTCTTCAAACTTCAACAGTTATAAAGTTTATGAATGGGCTAAGCTATTTTAATTTTCCTAGGAAATGGTGTATATCTACTTTTTTGGGCATAAGACACAAAATATTCATCGACGTATCTGAAACCATTTAGCTCTATTAGTAGGTTTGTGTTAAGTAACCTTGTTTTCAAAAATTTCCATGTATAGGTTACTAAAACAGGTGAAAGAGGGTTTTCCATTCCATACCAAAACATCTGAAGAAGTAAAAACTTATCTTTAAATACAAATTTTGCATCACAATCAAAGTTTATAAGTTTAATGATAGTAGGAAACTGGCATGGTTAAATCATAGTTAACGTTTCTTCAGATAAGAAACTTAATAAATCATCAACAGGAACTTTCGTAAACAAGGAAGTAACATCAAAACTAAACCATTGTTAAAATCATTTAAGTCAGTCAAGGAAGCTTTAATTTCTTCAACCAAAGTCTATGTTTTTTAACATTAAAGTTAGAAATTTTGCCACAATAGGGCTCAAAATAT